CTGAAGGAAAGTGCAAACAGGAATGTATCTACACCATTACACGTTTATTTTGCAGCTTGAGCTAATGTGTTTCTCTCAATGTTCAGACAATTATGGGTTTTTCACTGCTGGAGAAGAACCAATGTTTATTCACAGGTCGGCTCAAAAAAAGCAACCAAAGAGTGCAGATCATTTGCATCTATTATGACAGGAACTCTAAAATGGAGTATAATCTATTACTTAACCAAGCCAAATGGAAGCAACAATAACAAAGGCAATGAGGCTGCTGTACAAGACCTTCCCTTCTTAAGCAACAGCTGTAGAGCTGGAGCAGTTGCAACCCTCAACCCTCAGCCCCCTTATGCAGCTGCATACTGTCTTTTCATTTCACCTCTGAGGACAATGTGAGCATGACTGAGTGACACCCAAGAACTTTGTCCCAATGGTTTGATAAGTTTAGATAGGCAGGATTTAGATCAAGCTTTGACTAGCACAGCCACAGCAGCACTGTCAGCTCTGCACATCTGCAGATCCACCTCCAGATGCTCCTCAGAGCATGATTCCTTTGTAGGTCGTGAAAGAAACAGGGAGAGAGAGGGGACAGAAAGTTGGGGAGGGGAGGTTTGGCGGAGGATGGTGGGAGAAGCATTTAGGAAAAATGTGAAGGACATATTGACGGGATGCACTGAAGGAAAAATTTAGGACACTATCTATTCTTGGGACACCATGCTGGCTAAGTCCAGCTCTATTCTATCTCCAGTTGGCATTGCTTCACTGACCAGTGAAAACCAGTATATTGGAGGAATACAGATCTTTTCTTTTCAAACTTAGCTGTTATGGCTATCAAATGAATAAATAGAAATGATGCTCTTGGGCTGGTGCGACCACATATAATTAACTATCACAACTCGACCATGAAATGTTTACAGAGAATTCTGCATGAACAGCCCAAAGTTTAAAAACATGCCTCCAGATAAAATCAAGCAATGCAATTATCTGAATATCAGGAATTTGCATCAATGCCCTACAAACAGAAAATGAGAATAAGTATGTAGAGTAAATGAGCCACTGTCTCAGGTCTAACTTTTGACAAGATGGTCTCCCTGAATGCAGTCCGCTGAGAATACCAGTGAGTCACATTCATAACTGGATTTAAGAAGTACATAAAACAATAATCACAGAAATGATAGTAAACAAGAAGAGCTGCATCAAAGATAGTTTTTTTTCTGCATTAAGACCAAAAAAGCCTACTCTTATGAAATGTGATTAGCACTGGCACACTTCTCGTATTTGTTACATTTATTATCATTATTAAATTGCACCACTTGTGTGCACAATGCTGCAAAGACGATGATCTTAGAGTGCTTTCAGCTGCAAGTTGACCTAAGGCTTTTATAATCTGAAGCCTCCCTCTTGGAAAGGCAGACAAAGCCAAGCCAGAAACTGAAGATGAAAAAAAAAAATCATTTAGTTCAAAATCCTGTGTAAATAAAAACTGGATCTCTATAACATGCTTGCTGGTACTCTGTTCAGAACAGTCACGTTTCTAGATAATGAGTGAGATTTAATAAAAGCTTTCAGCCAGAGTCTGTTCCTGTTGCAATCACTGGTCATTTTTTTAGTTGAAGAGGGGCAGATAAACTAAATTTGTGTGTTTTTGAAATTACCACCCTGTCATTTAACTGGAGTGGTCATTTCCTTTAACATTTTGGACATGAATTCCATTCCCAAAGAGAGAGCAGCTCAACGGCAAGAGCTGCTAATGCAGCACATGCCAGTTTCAGAGCATCTACACTAGTTCATTTAAAGTGGCCGTCTAAAATCCCCCAAATTTTGGGGGAAACTGTCTTGGTGGGGACTTTTAAAACACAACCTAAATTGTTACTTCAGTTATAACATGTTTTTTTCTCTTCTTTGAATACCTTGTTTGAATTTTAATTGCTCTCAAATTTCTGATTTCAAGCACATAGTAAATAAGCAGGAGGACACATATTTGCTGGGCAGTTCCCCCCCCCCCCAGGCAGTTTGGTGCCTTAGGAAAAAGTCAGAGGGGAAGATTAGTGCACCACAGGTCCCTTTTCCATCCCCCAGCAGCACAGCAGGAGGTGGTGACCTGGCACCTCGGTCCCGGAGGGGAAGGCAGGCTGCAGCAGGGACTTTCAGGAATAGAGACATCGGAGAGGTTTAACACAGAAAGCTATAGTCCCTGAGACCCTGGGAAACAATTACAAATTTTAAACAGCTCTTGGTTTGGGCTGTTACAGGACACTGAGAAGACTCTTGCCCTGGACTGGCACCAGGGTGAGCAGCTCATGCAGGAGACTTGGTAGCAGGAGCCTCCAAATCCAAGGCATGCCAAACACAAGCCAGAGGCTCAAGTGAGACAGTAGCCGCTGAGCAAGAGATGACAGACATGGCCTAACTGAAGTCCTATCGGCTATTTGTGCCAATATGTGGGGCCACAGGATGCTCTCGGTTCCTTACTGAGGGAACAACTGAAAGCAGGGTGATGCAGAGCCATGCGGGCATGTGTGCTGCAACCAGCACACGCTCAGCATCTTCCCCTCCCCAAGACAGGCTTGGCAAGGTCTGGAGGGCTCGGGGAGGAAGGATCCCCCCCCCGCAGAATGGCAGCCTCTTTTTTTTTCCCAAGCACCGGCTAAAACCTAAAGACACAGGCATGCCTTCACTTGCAGATGTGGTGGAGACCATGGGGGATTTCAGTCTTGGAAAACTAAGATCCTCTTCTGCCTATTCACTAAGAGTACAGGCTGCTCTGAGAAATGCCTTTGTGCTGGGCTTGTAAGGGGCAGCTTTAATTATTCCCGTTCCTCTTAAATCGTCTCTTTGTGCTATGGGCTCGGTCGTGATGATTTTTCATTTGAGAGGATTGCATCACATCAGACACAGAGCCATAAATCCCCCAGAACGAGCAGACTAGTGACAGCACTGGCCTGTTTTACAGCAGGAAAGTGTAAAGTTTATTGTCATTTTTAGAAGTTAAATGATTTTAAAATGACATAATCTTAAAGAAAAAAAACACACACTAAAAGCAACACTGCAGAAAGTTAATGTCTTCCCCAAACAAAGTGACCAGGTTATGGGAAGGGGTGGGAGTGGGTGTGTTGGTGGAAGTGGCCAGAGATGAATGAAAACAGGAAAGGAGAGTAGCTCTGATGTGTCTGCGATGGCCGAACACCTTAACCCTTTGCTGTCCTTTTCCAACACTCGTGAGGCTTTGGGCTGCCTTGCCTCAAAAGATGTTCTGATCGATGAGTGTGCTCCACCTATGGAAGGGATAGATGGGCTCAATCGTCCCACAAGGACCTGCATCCTGGGGCACATCCCTCCTAGGGATCCCTTCCGTGGGGACAGCCAGCTGTGCGCACAGGAGAGAGACGAGAGGCCCTGGGATCACACTTTGGCAAAACGTTTGGAAAAGACACACTGAGATTTGAGGGGAGGGATATTGAAGCACAGCCCAAAGATCTGGCTCAGCATTGTGCCGGTGCAGTGTTTCAGGCATGGAGGGGGAGGATTTTCCCCCTGTGCTCTGCACTGGCCTCACGCTGCCCCTCTGAAGCCAAAAGGATCACCCCAGACTGAGAGCTTCAAAAGCCCCAACCTGGGGTTTTCAATTCTGCTGTCACCCAGCCAGGCTGGGTGGGAGCACCTCTGCTGTCATGTGGGATTTGCTGAGCTACCGAAGTGCGGAAAGAAGCGCCCCAAGGAAAGGCAGGGGACACAGACGGAGAGGAACCGAGCCCAGCTCTGCATGCCCCAGTGTCACGTTTAGCGGGGAACTTCTGTCTTTGGCTGAGAAAGGATGCAAAGGCTCCCTTCTGCTCCTATAAAAGTTGTCTCTAACACTCAAAGCCTCTTTGTGATCACGACACCAGAACAAAGCAGGACCGAACACTTCCAAGGAGTGTGTTAGCAGCCAGAAAATGCAGACCAGCAGCCCTGAAGGGCAGCGCGTGGGTCAGTCTGAATTAGCAGAGCAAGGCTGGGAGGTCTGCAGGGAGCCCTGCAGCCCAAAGTCTCTCAAGCAGTATTTGAAGCTGCCGATGGTTATCATGAAGGAGCCTGTACTCTGCATGTCCGGAGAGATGGAGCTCCACACGGAAAGATTTCCAAACCCTGTTCTCAGGGACAGCCCACGCCAGTTGACCACATAACTCTGCTGCGCTCCTGCGAATCAAGCTCCCTGCTTGGTGCCGTTACATCAGTTAGCAACATGTCTCAAAAGCCAGTTTTTCTTATATACCCAGCCTCCACTCCGCAAGTGTTGGGTTGCATTTTCAATTCAAAAGGGCTTACGAACTCAGGTCCCTTCTCCGCAGTGCGCCAGCCCCAGTGTCTCCAGAGGCTACGGCGTCTCGTGAGCCTAACAAAAGGCAGTGTATGTCTTCCCCAAAAGGCCTGACTTCCACACTCAGAGCAAGTGTTTCAGTGAGTTACAAGGGACATTTCTGTTCAGACAAACGCATTTCTGCAACCAGCTGCAAATCCATCTAACAGTAATGTTTCTATTTCAGTAGGCAAGTCTATTATGTCAGAAACCGTCTAGCCACAATCGTTCAGAACACAAAAGCAATCGCATAATCCCCTTACTCTGTGCGAGATAAGCAAGGCTCAAATAAATGGAGCACTTCTTCTCTTGAGGATTTAATCCCCATTTGAAGGTTTTTTTATTGTTATTATTATCCTTTCTAATCACCCAGGAGTAAGCAAGGATTTCAAATCAAAACTGCCCCTAAAGATTTCCATCTTTATATACATGTACATATATATAACAAATATGCATGCATGTATACACACACATACATATAATTTTGCATATATATATATATCACTGTATTCACTCATGTTATTCACAAGAACTTCTTTTATTCTGATTCCACAGGCGGGATCTCTTCCCAGCAGAAATATGAAGTGCCGCAGCTCCGTGCCAGTGGTTTCAAGTTGCAGGCTTTAAGCTTTCTCTGACCTTTGTACAGAATTTTAATTCTTTCTTTTCTGCCTTGCATTTCTAGCTCGAGGGTGATGGTGGAGACCTACCAACTCAAAGGGGTCCCATCACCCCAAAAAGCAACTGAAAAGAATAAAAGTTGTGAGCTTCATAGGAATCGTCACCCAGCAGGCAAGGTAAGTAATAAAACAAACTTTATAGAAAATAATTCACCAGATTTCTTTTCTGTTTTGACAGTAAAAGGGGAGACCAGCTCTTTTTCTTAAGTAACAAGACATTTGCAACCGGGGAAAGACATCATCTCCCCAGTTCTGAACCAGATCGTGGGCTTGAACAGCATCTGTCTCTGTTGGGACTCTGTGTCGGACACTCAGTAGTGATTTTCTGGACTTGGTTGTCCTGGCTGCAGGCCTGGGAGAAGGAAAAAGCAGCTTCATACCATTTCCTTTGGCCTGGAAGGAACTGTTTTCAGGATAAGTAGCAGAGTGCTACTCAAAATGAGGAGTGAGATAGAAGAATAAAAAGTCGGGAGATGAGAGAGTGAATCAAGTTTACAAGAAACCTCTTGGTCATGAATGATTAAGTGAAAAGATATTCCTCCCTCTACTAATGCCTCACAATTAATGTAGCATTTAAAGGATACTTAAGAGATGATATATATGAAACAGATCTTACTGGGAATGCTTTGTCTCAGGCTCAGCCTTCAAAGCCCGACATAGTTTTGCTTATGCATACATGGCTGGCAGGAGGACCCTGCTCCCTCATCACAGCAAAAGTTATGAAAGAACAAAAGTTTATACCAAAAAATGCAAAACGCTGAGAGCTGCAGAGTGCCTGGGACCAATTCTGGTACTAAAAGCAGGAGTGCAAAATGAGGGTAAGCAAGATCAAGTCATTCAAGATTTTTCCTGTAGCTCGGGGTGCACACAGATGCCAGTGAGGGCATGGCAATACCGGGAAAGTGCCATACAAGAGCATCTGGTCAGGGCACAGGCAGACAGTAGCAAGGGATCAGCTTGGTGCTGTTTAAGAAATTATTGTCCCCTCAACTTGATGCCACCTCAAAGCTGGTTTTAATGAAGTGATTTTATTTTGCATTGCAGACTCCCAGCGGAGATCCTGGACTCGTGCAGTTACTAAATACCAGCTGAGAGGTTAGGCTGAAGATGTAAAATTGCTATTTCAAAACTGAAAAGATATCAACCCTGAAATTTGGCTGAAGGGCAAATAATTTAAAGCTGGTGAAGAACAATCTTTGAAACTGTTGTAACTGACTTGTCTTGTAGCTTTGTATAGGTAAAAAGTAATGGCGACTCTTTTGAGAGAGGTAATAAAAATGCTTTTGCGGCACTTTCCACTACAGCAATATATGCATGAGTAGTTCTGGTTATTATATACATACAAAATATCACAATGACATACCACAGTTTATAAATGGGTCAAAGAACATGTACAATTTTTAGTACACTGACAGCCATTTACTTTATCTTTGAGTGCACTGAGGACAACACGTCTGTGATCTGGCTTGCCTTTATCTGCTTTTACAATAGGAGCGTGAAATAACCTGCAATAATTACTTGTAGTTATATTGTGAACCAAAAAATTCTGATGGTAGTTGGATTATTCTTAGGAGTAAAATTAGTCAAGTGTATAAATATTAGCATGAAGGTATTATATGACAAGCTTCCAGCCTATGTGCACTGATCCATGATTCAGTGATGTCAATAGGAGCGATGAGTGTCTTGCCAGATTTTGGGCTGCTACAAAAATAAAGGTGCTACTGGCGTAGGAGTGAGGATGAACATTTTGAAAGGGTCAAGCATATTGTTTTCAAATCATCAGTGTTTTGTGGAGACATTGATATTTCTAAATTTTTTTTGTTGAGGGTTTTGTTTTAGTAGTTCTGGGGGCTGGTCCCTAGTCTAAATTAAATACTCAACGCTGAAATGCAGAAGAAGTGCAGAGGGAAATTTTAAATTCTAGTTCTGATAGAAAGGAATTTTTCCTTTATTTCTGGTACATATTAAAGTTGCCTCCACATTTGATAAACATTAGGAGAGCTCAGACTTCACGGATGTTTCGTTTGGTTTGATGATAGAATTAAGTCCTTCATTGAAACATGACTTTTAAAAGGTATAGTTAGCATTAGATTTGAATTCAGAAAGCGAGAGATGTTTTTTTCCCATGCCAGAAATCTTTACCACAACTAAATAAATTAAATACAATTAGAAAAATTAATTTATAGAACCAAAGTCACTGAAGTCACTAGAAGGGTTCCCATTGAAAATCCAATGCAGATTTCAGTGCATTTAATTGAATGAATTAAAACCTTTCAGTTAAACTAAATCAAATAATTCACAAGGCAAATCCTACCCTTCAAAGGGACCTACCTAAAGAGTAGGAGATTTGCCCGAGGTTCGCTTCTAACTGATTCTTCAAGGAGCTACTGGAAGCCTCTTCCCTCAAACTGTTAATTCAATGGATGCACAGCATGAGTCCTCCCATCCCTCCTTGCTCCACTGCCAGAGGTCTGGCATTAGCTGAGGAGGAACCACGAGACAATAATAGTGACAGGAAATTATAAATGCTTTTTGTCTCCATCCCTCTTTTTGCCTCAAGGGCAAAACTTTTTATTGCAGCCTGGTGGTTTCACCTCTGCTATGTGCTGGCAGCATGCTTGAGAGCAACCTCCATTGGGAGCGCTTCCTAGTGAGTGTAAATAAGTGTACATAGCATGCATGTGAACAGCTCTGTAGAAACTGGAGGAAAAAAAGACTGCTGGCACCAGTATCCATCCACATATACCAAACTTATGGGAAGCTGAGATGGTAGACATAGGAAAATTATTATAGGCATAAAGTTCATGCAAAATTGGCACCTACTAGCCCAGCTTATTTCCCTGGTTAAATGAAATCTGTTTTGGTTAGCAACAAACATAAGAGAGAGATTCAACCGTGTGAAATACATTGCCATGATCCCAGTTTAGCCAGCCAGTTTGGTTAAATCTTGTTTTCCAACAGTGGAAACAGACTGGAATATTTGGCCCTTAGGCTGTTAAAGCAGAGTCAGTGCACACGTAGGGGAGTGAACAGGACTTTCTTGGCATGAACCTCCTCAGCTGACAAATCAACCAGTTGGTTACTTTATCATTCACAAAATCATTTGCATGGCCCAAGTCCAGTTATGGAGATTTTCTTGGGGAGGGAGAAGAGGGCATCCAGCCACACCACATCCCAGCTAGTGACATCTGGTGTGGCGAATGTACACCTGGTCTTGGGACAGTAAAAGCCCCTGGTCTCTATATGGCCTCCTGCTGTGCCCCGCTGCCTTCCCTTTCAGCTTTTTTTCTGCCCACCCAGGACCACATCTCTGTCCTCAAAAAGGGCATGGACTGGCTTAGGGTTTACTAAGGGTAAGACTTGTACCACAGTTTTCTTTTTTCAAGCAATGTGCTGATCTATCTGTGGGGTTTTATATAGCCATGCTTTTGCGTAGGATCTCCTGTGAACATGGATACTCAGAGGGCTGGGCTCACATTTTCTTTCCATTGCAAAATCCCTCATTCATGTCTTCTAGCTGCCAGGACTGTGAATGCTACCTGAGGCCTGAAAGTCAGGCTGTGTTCTTCTAGCCTGTGCATCATCACAGCAATAAAAACGTAGTTAACTCTTTAGTTGGTGGTCTGAGAGCCAGAGTATGATCTAGTCAGCTCTCCCTTAGCTGTAAGTGCTATGTGTCGCTAATAGGAAGGGAAAAAAAAGAGTAAAAACTTGTTTCTGTTAGTGAAATAAGCAGATATGACTCATAATGCACACCAGGGACCAATCAGTTGAGTAAGAAGGTATCTTTTTCATTCCCTTCCTTTCTGTCCATAACCAGTGACACTTTGGCCTCAAAATGAGTACTGCAATAGTGCTACATATAGTCAAAAGCTTATTTTAGATGGTTTCTCTCCAAAAACCTTAGAACTTGGAAGGCAAATGGAAATTTAGACAAGACAGATACTCATTTTATTCTCCTGCTCCTTTATTTTCCCTACTTTCTTCTTCCCGTGCTTCTGACAGATCTAACTAGAAAGAATACAGTCATTCCTCCTTCCAGGGGTGATTGTGTTGGGTTTTGATAGAGACCTGCTGCCAAGGGTTGGAATCGAATTATGTTTCAACTTCAAGATTCCTGTCAGCTGGGCTCTCTGAACTTTTCTAGCTGAAGGAATCAGCCAACAGTCCAAACTCGTCTCTGACCCGGGACTTCAGTGAGGTCTAAACTGAGTGCTTAGGCAGCAGCAAGTAGTCTGTAGCTAACGCCTCTGTAGCAGTTCTCAGTTACATGAACCAATCATTCATCCACCCTTTCAAACTGTAGCTACCCAGCATCAAACCTGGGATGACAGCCACCAGCAGCTCTGGATCAGCTTTTCAAAATCACCCATTTTTGACTTTTGGCACCAATGTCTTTGGAAGAGGTGGATATGGCAGGTGCATGCTGACTGCTAAAATCAAGTTACATGTATCTGAGAGACAGCTGTCAAGCTGAGCGCTCTAGAAAACCTGACCTCCAGCTTGCCTGAGCATCTTCATCAAAAAAATGTACTGGCTGAGTTTTCATTTTTGCAACCTTTCAACACGCAATAGCTTTCATGCCTTGCTCCTTCCATCATTAGACAGCTCTATAGAGCTGAGTCACACAGGACTCATCTGGTGTATTGGTCATGCGCCTGAGTCACATGGAGGGAGATGGCTCATAGCATCAACCCAGGCCACAGAGATGGCTGACAGCACCAACCTCGGCCACGGAGATGGCTCATAGTGCCAACCCAGGCCACAGAGATGGCTCATAGCACCAACCTAGGCCATGGTGTGGCCTCTGACCAGGCTGCTGGAGCAGGCGAGCACATAGCATGGTACGTCCCCAGCAGCAACGCTTCCCCATGGCTTAATTTCTGCCCCGGACCCTCTAGCCCACAATGCATACAGCTCTCAAGGGATCACAAATCCATCCAAGAAGTTTTGCCAGGCACAGGCTCTCCTGAGGTGTGGCAGAGGCCACCACACTCCCTGAAATGGAGGCCCGCCTCTAGGGAGGCATAACACAGAAGATTGTGAGACTTTTGAGGGCTGAATTTGGGCATCTGTGATGCTGGCGAGATGCTGAATGTGCTGTGACGCAGCTGCCTGTATTGCTCCAGTGAGGAGTCCTGTAGTCCTAAGCCGGACTGGGTCCTAGGCAGGCACTTGGCTGCTCCATTGCATGGCCTCAGAAGATGCTAAGCACTTCTGGAGACCTGGCTGCAGCCATGCGCGCTGAGGGCTTCGGAACACTTGCTCATCAGCCACGCTCTGGCTGACTTGGACGTATGCTAAGATACCTTCAAATCCCTCTGTTGTGTAAAAGAGACTTTACACAGGGGGTGATACAACCAGGTAATGCTCCAAAGCTCCTTCAGGATAGTGGAAGGAGACCCAGGCTTGTCCACACCAGGATGTTTCCCTCTCAGCAGACATGCTGGCATAGCCCCCAGTGGAGACACACCGTATGCTGACAGGAGTCCTTCTGCTGGCAGCTTTACTGCTGCTGAATGACATCATAAACTAAGCTGATAATAACACTTGTCTGTCACCATAGATGTATCCACCAGAGTGCTTCAGCCAGTGCTGCGACCAGCAGGAAGGAGAAGAGATGGTGGTAAATACTCTTGCAGCTGGCATTGCTGTGCTGGCCCCCATGGAACTGGGGGTCAGGCCACTGTGTATCTGAATTTCATGGGGCTGGGCTTTATTTACCTTGTAGCACATTTATATCACTCTGGGAGTATCAAGCACTTTAAGACGAGGAGTGACTGTGACTTCTACAACTAATTTAATGTCCTTGTACACAGCCGTGGTGGCAGGATCGGTGGGGATCCAACCAGGCACATTCCCGAGTCATGGCTTTATGTCATGACACTAACAAGTTTGCATCACGTATGTAAAGTTCTTGGATTACAGCCAGTAATGAGAACCAGGACAAATTCTCATCCTCCCTCTCTCCTATGATGAGGGAAATATGCCTTTTCTCCAGTAAAAAGTGGAATTTCCCAGTAGGAGGAGAGGTTTTTTGTGTGTGAATATTTCACACACCTTTACTAGCTGTCAACTGTACAAGCTAATCAAACTCACCTTCATAACGAAAATTATTTTTTAATTGCATGAAAATTATAAAGTTGCATGATGAATGAGGAATCATTATTGCAAAAGAGACAGAACCTTCAAAACATCATTTTAGACCTCATCCTGCTCCTGCCCCAGTATCTTTATTTCTTGTGTATTTCACAAACCTAAGCTCTTCAATTTTCCCCCAAACACATAGTCACTGGGCTGCAAAT